TTTCCTTGTCAACACTGAATACGGGATACCTCCCTGAAACACAGTGCGAGGGATAATTTAGGTCTCAGCGGTCATCGATGATGTGGACCAGGGTGAGCTCAAAAGAGTGGGCCTTCCTGGATGTTGCACAGATGAAATTCTGCAGAACTGTGAGGATGGAAACCTAGAGAGACTTGGCTTCACTGGGAGAGAATAAGACCTATTATTGTGATGGGTATTCCTGTAGTCATAAGAAATGTCTTACACACCAGGGTTACTCCAGCATTTGGGTAGAGGAATGGGATTACATTGTTACATGTAAAAAGAACCATCTCATATTCTATGAAGCTTCCATATCCTAGAGGCCCCAGGAACATAAATCTCTTAATGTGAAAGTGAGTTTTCACATATTTCTCTGGTGATTAATAACCCTGTCACTCATAAAGGGTTATAAATGTAACTACTGCCTTTAGGGATTCCTTTGGGACTCACCCTTAAGAGATTTGAGTGGGATTTTGCAGAGAGTTTTAACTCTGCTAATTACAAGTTTAAGATATCAATTTGATACAAATGAACTCATACTTGTTTCTTCTTTTTTTACTGTTTTAATTTCTGGTATTATTTTCTGTTGCATAGAAGCATAAATCAAAAGTTGTATCATTGATATAAACCCCTAGAGTATTAAGACCTTACATATTTAGATGTAGAAAGACACTATGCTAAATTATTAAAGTGATCCCTGAGATTTTAGCCAAGTAAACCAACAGCATGTGCTGTGTGGACAGCTTTAAGACGTCTAAATAAGTGTTACTCACTGTGGATTGTAACATACATTAATATTATGTAGCATATACTAATGTGCACACATGTGTACATAAGACCACACCTGTGTATGTGTGTGCACTCACTACCAATATTAGGAACAATCTGACAAAGGGTGGGAGGGCAAAGTAACACTTTACAGAATTCCTGTCAAGAAACACAGAACTGATTACAACGTTGAATTTGGTAAATACCACGTAATAACAATCTTAGGTAACAATCAATTAATAACCTTACTAATTAAAAGATGAAAGTAATGGACTTGATAATAGGACAGAATGGAAAGAAATGTACTAAATACTAAAATGTACTAAAATCCAAATACATAATCAGTACATTTAACTGAACACAGGATATATTACATCAGTAAAAGACTTAAAAACAAACAAACAGAAAATCCGCATTTGATCAAGGTCGGTCATTGTCCTTATTATAATAGCCAAAGAGTTAGAAAGGCAAAATGACACGTGAACAGAGGCAGTCTGCACAGCTGATGAGGACACATCCCTGCAGTTACAAACACGCTGTCACGTGTCACTGAGAATCTCTGCTCACATTCAGCGCTGTGTTTGATGGCAGAGTCCCATGATCACAGTGTGGATGGAACATCCAGTTTCTGACACAACCTCTCAACTCTTGAGTTTTGAAACGATAGTGGAAGTAACAGCTTCCCCACGTTCCTCACACTCACAGCGACCTTCTCATCAATGAGCAGAGCTCCTCTATTATAGTGTGATAAGCACCTAAACCCTTCTTTGCTGCATTCTTTACACTGGTAAGGGTTCCTTTTTGGAATCACAGCAAGTTTTGTGGGATCATGAGTGGCTCTTTACATTAATTTTACATTCCTCTCCACTGTGCATCCTTAAATATGAAGTGAGGTTTGAGTAACATATACTTTCCCAAGTTGGCTACATTCATAAGGTCTCTGCCAACTAACTGTGAGTTCACCTGTTTAGTGAGGGATGGACAACTAGGATTGGTTTCTCCATATTCCTTACACTCATAGTGAATTTCTCTACTATGATATATCATATGTACAGTGAGGGATGAGGCATAAACAAACACTGTTACATACTGTTGACTATTCATATGGCCTCTTTCCAGTGTGGCTTCTAAGTATAGTGAGGATTGAGGACTGCCTAAACACTTTTCCACACTGTGTACACTCATTAAATCGGGTCCCCACTATGACTTTACACACGTGTAATGTGGTGTAAGGAATCCTTAAAGGCCATCCCACACTCCTTACATCCACTGGGCCTCTCCCCACTGTGAATCTGCCTATGTTTACAGAGGAATGAGTCCCTACCAAAGATTTCCCACATACTTTACATTTATATGGTCTCTGTCCACTGTGGATTCTTCTATGTGCTGTGAGGCTTGACCGTTGAGTAAAGGATTTCGCACACTACTTACATTTATAGGGGCTCTCTCCAATGTGCATTCTCCTATATGTTATGAGGTTTGGGTCCACATAAGGATTTTCCACAATCCTTGCCTTTATAAAGTCTCTCTCCACTGTGGATTCTTCTATGTGTTGTGAGGTGTGCTAATTGATTAAAGGTTTTCCCACACTCCTTACATTCATAGGGCCTCTCTCCACTGTGGATTCTACTATGTGTTCTCAGGTTTGATGCTCGGAGAAAGGCTTTCCCACATTCCTTACATTCATAGGGCCTCTCTCCACTGTGGATTCTTCTATGTGTTGCAAGGTTTGACTGTTGAGTAAAGGATTTCCCACACTCCTTACATTCATAGGGCCGCTCTCCACTGTGGATTCTTATATGTGTTCTGAGGATCGTCGCTCGGAGAAAGGCTTTCCCACACTCCTTACATTCAAAGGGCCTCTCTCCACTGTGGATTCGTTTATGTATTGTGAGGCCTGACCATTGAGTAAAGGATTTCCCACACTCTTTACATTCATAGGGCCTCTCTCCACTGTGGATTCTTCTATGAGTTGTGAAGCTTGATACTTGAGTAAAGGATTTCCCACACTCCTTACATTCATAGGGCCTCTCTCCACTGTGGATTCTTCTATGTGCTGTGAGGTGTGACTGTCGATGAAAGGCTTTCCCACAATCCTTGCATTCATACGGCCTCTCTCCACTGTGGATTTTTTTATGTGTTCTGAGGTTTGACGCTTGGATAAAGGCTTTCCCACACTCCTTACATTCATAGGGCCTCTCTCCACTGTGCATTCTTCTATGTGTTCTGTGGTTTGATGCTCGGAGAAAGGCTTTCCCACAGTCCTTACATTC